TAAGATAGCATGTACATATTAATTAGCATTTGGCAGAGTTATAACACTCGTCAGCCCCAAAATCCCCGGCCGATGCTTCTATGTCATCAGTGCACCGACACGATGGCCGCATGGCCCTGAAAGTCACAGGCTGAATGCACAGACCGGGAGTGTTTGCTCAGCCCTGGTGAGGGTCCAGCGCAGGGAACCACAAAGAGTTTTATAGTATTTGCTGAGCACTTTGAGCTGAGTGCTGTCTCAACAGCTCAATCAGGAGAAGCAGGGGGCACAAGTTCACGGTCGCCAGTGCTGCAGGTCTCCGTGCCGGGCTGCTGTACTCTAACGGCGGGCATTAAAAGTGATACCAACGCTGACCGTCTGTGCAGCCCGAATGCTTGCTAATGTCGGTAGGGGGTTGCCCTGCCTTTGGAATCTGAACCTTTTTTTGCCAAGTACAAAAAAGTATTGGCGGCATGACATAAACAATTTAACATACAATTAAACACATAATCAAGACAGGGCATGACGTAAATAAACATAAAATTACACGTGATCAAAACAAAAAAAATATTAAAAACTAAAAGAAATTGAGATAAAAATAATAAAAAATGTAGAAATATAAATAAAGTTAGACAGTCAAATGTAGGGTGCAAACGAGCTTAAAAGGATTATAAGGGTAAAAACTTGTAAAGTGGGTGAATGGATATGAAGCAGCGTGTGGATCCTTATAGGAGGGAAATAACCTGCAGAAAGAGGCTGTTCAGATGGCTATTCGTCCTTGGGCTCAGGGCTCTGAGGATCAGCTTTCACCGAGAAGGGAGCTGCTGTCTTTAGTTTTTAATCATGAAATCATATACGGTGTGTTTAAACAAAATATCTGCAGTCTTCATCACTATGTTTCAAGAAAAGAATTTCTTTCCACACTGAAACCCAAGACCATGCGATGACCATGCAAACTTAAAAGTCATGCGGGTGCTTATGGGTAGCCGGTCCTGCAGCACTGTTCCGGCAAGTTCTAATTATTCTCTCGGTGCAACTTCCAGTCAGGCAGCACTAACAGAGAAAAACTAACCCGTCCAAGGGGACACAATGGGGGCATCTCTCTCTCTGTGTCAGAGACACCCCCGTCCCTTTGTCCCGCCGTGGGGACTCCCCACGTCGGCGCTCCTGTTTGACAAGCCCGCCTGCCAAACAACTCAATTAACCAAAAAAGAAGGGGAAGAAAGGAAGACCCAAACAGAAGGAAAGAGAGGGCTGGAGGCTGTCAGGCGGGACTTTCACGGTGCCGGAATGAGCCAGGCGGAATTACGGGGGAATGGGAGGGAAAAGGCCATGTCGTGTTAACTGGCATTCCGAACTGTCCAAAGGGCAAACAGAAGGCCAGGGGGTCATTGCCACTTGGTGCGCCCCAGTCCCACCGCAACCCCCCCCCTGCCCCAATTGATGAGTCCAGCTGGACGCTATAGCAGCGGAAAGCGGTTTGTGTTTGCTCTGCTCTTCACATGAAGCGGGCCGTCGCCGGCACACATTGAGGTCTGTTAGCTCTCTACTCCACGCAAAGCCGGCGAGGTTAACCCACAAGTTTGCCACGCTCCGCGGTCTGCCTGACAGCCGATGGCACGCTGGCAGGAGGAAAAGAGCTGCCCCTTCAAGGTCACCATGTTCTGACAGCCGCAGAATGCTGAGGTATTGGCTGTCTTTAGAAAATCTCATAATGGACTGCCGTTAAAATATCACATGGAGATATTAAGCAGATAATGTACAAATGTGTGCTGTGCTGTCGAGCCACTTGCCTGTGAGTGAATGTAAATGTGAATGTGTGGGCATAGAGCAACGATCAGTTTGGTTGTGTGATGCAGTGGGACGAAATCCACACCATTAGTGTTTGCAGTGAAATCCTTGAAATCAGATGTACAAGATGT